GCTGAAGAATTCGGTTCTTGCTGAAGAGCCGTCCTGCTGATTCTGCTTCACATCACACTGTGTCATCTTCAGTGGGAGCAAATTTTGGTTTTTCTCCTTGGGCGTGAACACCTTCATTGGGAGTTACTGTTACTCCATAACAGATATATCCCTCTCCTCCCTTTTGGTTTCAGATCTTGTCCAGTTTGTTTCAAGGTTGATCATTGAAAATGTAGTTTTCTAAAATATGGAATGCGATTCCCAGATGGGAGAGAGAAATTTTTGAAATTTCGCCCAACCTTCCTGTAGGGTTCGGCCATCCATATGATGGATCTCTCATCCCTTTCAAAAGTATGATTAACAGCAATCTCGTTTGAAGCAAAACCACCACTTCCATTTTTTGAGAATATCATCAGTTGAAACATTAGGTTGCATTTGTTTGTGCTGTAAACATCAGACCAATGTAAACTTGCACTCTGGTTTGTTACAATCCATTTGTCCCATGTTGGTAGTATGGGATGCTAATGTGAGGCATCCCACATCAGTAGTATGGGATGTTGTTGTGGGGTATATATGTGCTTGGGTTCCCTCCCTCTAACAGCTAGCTTTTAGGGGCGAGTTCTCCTAAGTCACATAACAYAGTCTGGTTTTGCCTGTGTTTGTTTGCGATGTTTTTATACATCATAAGAGAGAGAAAAACTGCATTCAAGTCGACTTTTACATCAAGATTCGATGGAAAGTTATCATCAATAAAATCAATGTAAGCTCCAGTCCCCATTTATAGCATTGTGCACCAAACAAAATCAGTGTAAATGGGAATGAAGCTCTGGTCTCCATTTACACCTTTTAAACCAGATTGATTAAAAAGTGAGAGGTGGTCTTTTGTATTGACACTGCAAACAAACGCAACCATAGAGAAAGTTTCCAGGGTTTTCAACCAGTGGACCACCCTAATCATTATTGTTGCAATTATGCCTTCTTTGCTTTTTTCATTTTTCAAGAGTATTCTTGAATTCCTTTCAGATTGTCCATAACGTTACTGCTCTAGTATGCCAAAACTTCTTTCTTCTTTCTTCTTCTTTTCTGTTCAATCACTCTAATCTCTTTCACAATTAAGAGGTTAGGCCCCAATTACAACTCAATTAAACATTTAATGGGCTTGCAATTGAGCCTATTTAAATGTGAAGCAAACCCTGAAAGAGTTAAGTTTGTGTTAGTTAAGAAAGGACCACTTAGAAGGGAATTTCACTTTTCTTCTCATAGAGAGAAGGTTCTTTTCCCTCCTTAAACCCTGCTTTAAGTAGGTGATGAGAGTAGATATTTATAGCTATCAGTAGGGTAACATGTAACACCCTAAGAGAAGGGTAGAGTGAAGTTATCCAACCAATTTCCTCTTCTATATAAACCCTTCTCCTACAAGGAGAGGGGACTAATTTTATTCTAAACTTAAGTTTTAGCAATGAGAAAGACAAAACAAAAGGACAAAGCGAAAATGAGGCATGGATAACTAAGAAAGAAAAAGTCTAGCCTATGAGCCTATGTGAAAGTAGAAAAGAAGATGATCAAAGTCACACCTCTAGAAGTTTGATTCTCACTAAGTTGGATCAATTTAAGACTAGGAAGAAAGGGAATGCCAATGTGGCTATGTGGCTATTGCTACTAATACTCAGACATCCTCATCTTAATACTCAACTACCATGGGATCTAGTAATGGATTATAGTTTAGCTTGAGAATTGTGCATCTAGCTCCCCTACCCCTGATGCTCCTTACATTGTTATTGCTAAATCAAGTAATGCGATCATTTGACCAGTATGTCCTCACATTTTGCTCATCTACTCCTGATGCCTCCTCTTATGTTCATGTCTCTTTGTTAATTGATTCTAGAGTAGTGATCAGTGTTTTAAAAGATTTTTATTAAAAATAAAGAAAAAATGAGATCCCCCCTTCCTCTCCATCCTCCTCCTAACCCCCCTCCTCTTAAGGAGGCTTATGCCTCCTTGTGTTCGAGAGGCTTACGCCTCTTATGTTCTGAACTACACCTCACGCATCTAGGTAGTGGAATGCCTCGCATCACGCCTCCACGTTTCAAAACATTGGTAGTGATCATATGACTGGTATGTCCTCGCATTTTGCTTCTTACAAGCTATGATCTAGGAAGAACAAAACTATGATAGCTGATGGATCCCATACACCAATATCAAGCGTTGGTGCAGTTAAGCTGGATGAGGGTCTCTCCATTCAATTTCTCATGTTCCTTAACTCCATAATAACCTTTTAGCAGTTCTCTTATACTGAAGGTGTTAATTTTTATGTGAAATTCTTCCCTTTAATCAATTTCTGAGAAGCACTTGCAGTCTTTTTACAAGATAAGCGTGTTACTTATTAGAGCCCATTTGACATATACCTCATCAGAATGATGTTGTTGAGAGAGAATTGGTGGAGGGTGCTTGTACTTTATCATTTCAAATGAATGTCTATATGAAATTTTCAGGGACATAGTTTAGAGTATTCTTCACCTTATCAATAGATTACCTTTCCAAGTTTTATCCTTCAAGTTCAAACTCCAGAATAACTTTTATAAACAAGTGAACAGGCCTTCCAACTCTCATTATGAGTGATTGGTTGTTTGTTTTGTGCATGACATTACTATAGACGTCTTAAGTTTGACCCCAAAGCTCTCTAGCGCAATGTTTTAAAAACTGACCCGGAGGCCGAACCGTTTTTGCCTCAAAGTCGTGGGTCACCGGTTCGACCGGCTGGGTCATCGGTTCGACCGGCTGGGTCACAGGGTTCAGACCATGCCACATCATCATATATATATATGTATAAATATATATTTTATCAATAAATAATGTATAAATATGTTATATGTATTTTCATATTTAATTTAAGTTTTTTTAATTCAGTTTTTAATTTTTTATTTATAAAAAATATTAAAAATTGTAATTTGAGGCCAAAAAAGGGTTTTTTTTTTCAAAATTAGCGGGGCAAGGCCCCTACAGCCCCTTGGAACGCAAAGATCTCGAAAAGTTACCCAAAATAAAAAAAATCACCTCAATTGGACATAGGAGTCCAAAGTTATGGCCTCCGAAAGTTTGCATACACTGAGTGTGCAACCCACGACCCGGTGACCGGGTCGAATGGGTCAATGGTTGAATCGGCTGGGTTAAATGGTTCTTGACCAAGTCAGGTTTTTGACCATCTAATGTGTCTTGACTAAACTGGACCCAGAATCCTGGCCGGGTGACGGTTTGAACGATTCGAACGGCTAGGTCAACGGCGGATTGAAAACACTGCTCCAATGTATCTTTCTCGAGTACTCAATTGTTTAAAAGAGGAATAGATGTTTTGACCATCATTCTAGAAAAACGCATATGCCCAAAATATTACATTTCTTGAGATTGTATGTTTCTTCAAGTCTTTTTCACCTTTTTTCAAAGGGCAAGTTACAATGAAGAGAGGAGTCCTCTTTGTTTCCTATTACATTTCTATATTTTGGATGCAAGGTGACCCCAAAGACTAAACAACCATTACAATCAAACACATCAAACTCAGGTGTCCTTGATGATCCTATTGTTGAACCATCTATTCTTATGTTGGCCTTGGTTTATCTATTGTTGTCTACAAAGTAAAAAGATATTGCACCTTGTCTTCTTCCTCTACACGGTTAGGTTGTGTTAGGCCCGACTACCTGCTAGGCCCAACCGAATACTTTTATTATGCACTATCATGTCCATGCTAGGGTTTTGAATTCTTAATTCATACATAAAAGATTGGTTTTTAATTTTAATTATAGTACTTTATCTTTTAAAAAATGTCTTGTTCCCCCCTTTTACTAATGTTGTTCATTCATCTTTATTAACACAAGACATTTTTTAAATAATAAAGAACTATAATTGAAATTAAAAGCCAATCTTTTACGTATGAATTAAAAGCCAAGGTGTTGCCTAAGTGTTGCCAAGGTTCAAAATTTCGATACTATACGCCCCATATCAGACGTATCATATTGTATCGGGAGCTGTCCAAAACCCCAAATAAGGGGTGTTTCAGACCTTGACTATTTTCAGGGGGTAGGCATGCTTAAAACCAATACCCTGATGCAATTTGAAAAAAGTAAAAAAAAAAAAAAACTTAAATTAAGAAAGTTATAAAGTAGCGAAACACCCAATATGCATGTACAAAACACCCGATATGCCTGTTCATGCATATCGAGTGTATTGATACTTTAAACCATGGGTGTCGCCTTGACAACTATTTGGTACAAGGTGGCTTGACTTGTTGAATGCTTGGATGTGTTTTATATGTTATGTACTTATGTTTCATTTTATTTTTACATTTTCACTTTTAATATGTTTTATATGTTATGCTTAGGTATTTTATTTTGATCTAATAGGTTTTCAACATTTAGTTTAGAATTTAGAGTAATCATTTTCTAATTAAACTATTTTTAATATTTTTTGTTCTTTTTTGAACTTTTTGTATTTTTTTAAAAAGTTCTCAACATTTTTTTTTCATTGAAATTTTTAAAAATTGTGCACCTAGCCTTGCACCTAGGGCACAAAAAGTCCATTGCTCTTTTAAAACACTGCACGCATGAGAAAAAATGTTCGAGTCTGAGAGCAACCACTTTGTGAATAGAACTTCCAACAAATAGGTCTGTCCAATCTATCCCTCTCAGAACCTGGACAGCCAATGACAACCTTTCGGTAATAGCTCTTTATTTCTTCTTACTTAATGTAAGTGTTGCTCTGGACCTGACTGTTCCACCTCCCCACCTCATCTCTCTACCTCTGCTTCTCTCCCAACTCTTCCTCGCCCCAGTAGCCACCCTACCTTCTACCCAAGTAGGGATCACTGGGTTAGACAACCTGAATTTCAACCTACCATTCTACTAAAAAAAATAAGAAAAATCAACCTACCTAAATTATTTTTAACCAAATGTTCTGTATGATACAACTTGTACAGCTAATGCAGGGAGTTCACATCTTACATATATTCATGATGATAAATTAGGACTTACCTTCTCGAGCGCTAAAGATGAAATATGGTATCAGATGGTAAGCTCCCTGAACAATTTTAGGAAGATCCCTTGCCTGCATTTTTAATAACAGCCAAAATATTTTAAATGCTTCCATGTAATGAATTTATACTTGAACTTGTAGAATGAAATTGTAAATGATCAAAGCAGTTGTGCTTGAATTTATGAAAGTAGCAAGTCAGATTGTAATCTAGATAATTAAAATGCTTGTAAGTTACAATTAATTAGGTTTATTACTAACATTTTCACTGCAATATTAATTCTTTTATTTGATCAATGCAGCAATAATAATTTGGGTTAATTACTTGTATATTCCCTGAGGTTTGAAGAAACTACTTATATATACCCTGCAGCGTCAAAACCTACTTGCATATACCTTGTAAGATGACCCCACCTTGCAAGGTGCCAACCAGCTGGTTGGTAAGGTCTCCTGCTGGTCATAGCGGAGACTTGGGATCGAATCCCGCCTG